ATATATATATATATATATATATATATATATATATATATATATATATATATATATCTTAATCCCTTATTTTTTACTTTTATATCTATTGAGATCCAAGATTTGAAAATATTATTTATAAACAAATTATTTCCATTTTTTTTATTTTACAACCCCCTATATTTCTTTGATCAAGAATATTTGACCCAAACAAAAATTAAAATGATACCTCAACACTTTTTTTTCCTTTCACGTTTAAAGCATATCTCTCTGTCAAATCACGTCTCTCTCCCTCAATTTTATTTCTCTCTAATACCCAAAGTTGGAGAAGTTCTCTCTTTGCATCGACTCTTTCCTCTCTCTTTCTCTCGAAAAAAACCCACAGGTTTGAAGCCCTATTACCTTGTTGCGGCTCCAACCCACCGATCTAAAAAAGCCAACAGTTCTCCAAAACATCAACAAGTTACTTTGGAGTTGGCTAGCTAGCACCAAGGAAGGATTTGGCATTTCTCATAGCAGCAAATTCCAGGGCTCACAGCCATGGGCAAATAGGTTGGAAAGCTCGAACCCCAGCAAGCTGGCTGTAAGGTTGCAGAGGCCAAAACTCCACAGGTGAAGTAATCACCAGCTTCAAGAGCCAAAACTCTAGTATTTGCAGGAACAGTGATGCTAGTATCAAACTTGAATACCACAAGAATGAAACCAACTACCCACTATGGAGATCATAGAATCATTTGGAATTGAGTCCATTTTGCCATTGTCAAGACTCAAGCTCCTACCCATCAAAGAACCCTTGAAGCAGAGGCCATTAAAACATCACAAACATGGAATCCACCTGCTGAAATGGTTCTAAACCTCAAATTCTTTGGAATCAAGCTTATAACCCCACTCCCAGTCTCATCTCTCCAACAAAAAGCAATCTCTTATCTCTAAAAAGACCAAGTAATCTCTTCTCTCTAAACAGACCACAATTGAACAATGAACCAGCTGTGATTGACCTCAAATCACCGTGAATATCATGAGTTGCAGTCATCTTATAGACCCCAACAATCCACTATGGAGGTCCTTTCTAACCTGTAACTGAAGCTTAAATTCAAGGATTTGAAGCTTTGTAAGTTTGAGATTGAGCTGCCATTGAGAACAGAAGATGAGTTTTCTCTCAAAGAACATAAATGGTGGCCAGGAAGAATATTAGTGAGAGAAGAAGAGAGAGGAAGGTCGTGCAGGAAGGAAGAGGGAAGAGAGAGATACAAAGATCCGTGGGCTTTTTAGATCGGTGGCTAATAGGGATTCAGATCTATTGGTTTTCTAGAGAGAGAAGAGATTGACGATGCAGAGAGAGGGGAACTTCTATACCTTCGGGTATGAGATAAAC